TCATGATCGTGGTACTCCTTGCTCGAATAATCCCTATCTTTCTATTTTCTATATCATAAAACGGAATGTTGATGGGATAGGTGTGTGTGTGTGTGTGTGTGTGCGTGCGTGTGTGTGTGTGTGTGTGTGTGTTATTGTGTCTGTGACTGTGCATGTCTGTAGAGGGTGTGTATATGTATATAAGTGTCTCTGTGTGTATGTGTACATATGTCTGTAAGTATGTATGTGGTGTATGTGTGTGTGTGTAAGCCAGAGAATCACCTTGGGTGTGATTCCTCAAGTGAATTTTTGTTGGTTTGGGGTTTTGTTTGGGGTTTTGGTTTGGTTTTTTGTTGTTGTTTTGTTTTTTTCACCCTTGTGTTTTGAGGCAGGATCTGACTTGCATGGAGCTCACCAAGTGGGTCTAGCCAACTGGCCAGCATACTCCAGGGATCTGCCTGTTTCTATCTCCCCAGCACTGAGATGACAATCTTAGAGCACCATCCATGGCTTCTTTCCATGGGTTCTGGCCATCAAACTCATCTTCATGCTTGTTTGACAACACCTTACCAACTGAAAAACCTCATGAAAAACTCTAAAGAAGGAATGCTTGTTTTCTCCCTGTGGCATTACTCTTGTTCTTTAACCTAGTGACTTCCCTTTGAGATAGGGGTATTCCCTCTTGTCCCTCTCTGCCTTTTCTTCTAAAGTACCTATTAGGCACGTGCTTGGTTTTTCTTTGAGATTTACTTTTCTTTCCTCCTTTGACTTCCACATGGAAAAAATGCATCCATCTTTTTGGCTCCTTATTCCTTCCACAATTGTATGCATTGTTAGTCAGCTGACCTTGTTGTGTGTCTTCTAATTGATTATTTTCCTAACAGCATCTATATCCTTTGATGATCTTGATTTCACGGTAAAGGTGCCTTGTGTGATTTGTGAAGCATTTCATGTCTGAGCTGCTTTGTGAGGTTGTGTGGGGCGTATAAATATTTAAACATGTCAGGACTCTCACCTTGGTGCTTGTTTTGCTTTTAAGAGGAAGATAGATCCAATTCTTTTTACTGTTATCTTGACTAGAGATTACAGGTGATAGGTGGGAAATGCTCCCAAAAAGAGAGTAGGGCTAGGTCTCCCTGTGACTTTGGAGAGCACAGTGACTATCTAGGATCATTGTCTTGGCTATAAAATATACTTTTAAAGAATTTCTGTAAAAGACTGGATGTGGTGGCATTTGCGTTTAGTCACTGGAAGGCAAAGGAATGTAGCTCTGTGAGTTTAAAGCCAATCTGGTCTATGTAGAGTTTTTTTAGGTCAGCCAGGGCTACACAGTGAGACCCTATCTCTAAAGCAATGTAAGTAAATAAATAAAATGGATAAATTCTGTCACTAATATGTGCTAATAAATGCACAAATGCATTGCATAATCCTATAATTTTGTTTTTTATTAGTATATTGTTTTCTGATTTCTTATTAGTTCATGTTAAGAACAGTTGAACTCGTCCTTTTACTGTCCCTTACTCTGACTACTTTCCTTTGAGCAATTTAAAACACTAAACAATTGCAGTTTCTGGTTTTCTTTCTTCTTTTCTTTTTTTTTTAAATAGCAGTTGAGAGTTTATTAAGGAAGGAAAACACAAAATTTACAAGAGTAAAATAGAAGAGTTAAACAAAAGTAGCATAATTATGTCAACCACTAACCTAGAAAAGGGGGAAAGCCATGGCCATGCTTATCCCAGGCGGGCCATCCTTTCATCATTATTTTATTAAAAATAAAGCATACTGATGCTTATGTATCAAGAATGTAACACGATTGCCCAGTGGCAGTGACCACATCTTTAATCCCAGCACCAAGGAGGCAGAGGCAGGTGAATCTTGGTGAGTTCAGTGCTGGTCTGGTCTACAGAGCAAGTTGCAAGACAAGCAGGGCTACACAAAGAAACCCTGTCTTTAAAAAAAAGGAGAAGGAAGAGAAGAAGAATATAACAAGATGCAAAAGGGTAATTTTAAGGAGAAATTCAACAGCAAAGTAGACTCAACAAGAGACAGTGTACCATTATAACCATTGAGTACCAGCAATACCAAAGAAAAATAATGAAGAAAACCGAAACAAAGATTAAGGTTCCAACTACAGATGGGCTTACAAATGGATTTTATTGTTATGTTATAGCTGAGGTGTCTCCCATTGTCCTACCTGGCATGTCAGTAGCCCATACTTAGGACTTACAGGGGAAGCCTTTAAAGACTAAATCATTGCTTGTCCCTTCTGAAAATCTCATATACTTTTTATTTTATTAGAATTTTTGAAGTTTTTTATATGTATGTATTTGTGTCTGAGTGAGTGTGTGCACATCACCTATATATATATACATGCCTTGTGGAAACCATAGGAGTTTCAGATCCCCTGGAACTAGAGTTACAGGTGGTTGTGAGCCACCTGATACAGGTGCTGGGACCCAAGCCTAGATCTTTTGCTATATTTAACTCAAGCTCAAAACCAACTCAAAATAATAGGTTTAATTAGTAAAAATACTGTAGGACGTAAAGAATAATGCATATGTATACAAGCCAACTACTGTCTTCCTTGCAGCTGTAGCAATCTTTAATCTTTTTTAGGACCTTCTTACTGCCTCACACACTGGACACTCCTTTAGCTAGGGAGCCATGTTTCTCTCATTCACTCATTGCATAACAGTGTATATTTTCTAATTTAGTGAGTGCATTCAGTGTGTATTTGTTGAATACATGAACTAAAGAAAGAAGAAATTGTAAGCTACCATGTGAGCAAGATGAGACTGGAAAAGGATCTTCAAATGAGCAGGATTTAGATGAACAGAAAGAAGAAAAATGTATTTTGGGTTGTTGATAAGAGAGTAAGATATAAATTGGTTATAAAATACCTAAGACCAATAAGTAGAAATGATGATTAAGACTGGAATCAGTTACATTTTCAGGAAAAGGAGACCACTAACAAGCTTCTCGTATGTCATAACTGAGAAAAAAATAAGACTCAGAGTGAAGATTCAAGTTAGCAGCCACATCATTTCTGCATCATGTGACTAATGGAGCTTACAGTAAACCATGTGACAGTGAGTTCAGGCTGATTCTCTTATGAACAGTGGGCTTGATTTTGCCATGATATCACTAATTGCCAATACCTAAGTCTAGTTACCATCATTATAAAAAAAGTAACTTTAGCTGTCACTTCCATAAAGCCATTGATGTTACCAACTACCAGTATCTAAGAATTACATGGCAAGACCAATTGTCAGCTGGTTTCTACTTTGGTTTATTTGCTTGCTTCCTTTGGGACAGAATCATATCTATCCCAAGCTGACCTCAAACTCACTAATATTGTCTAGAACTACTGATCCTCCTGGATATACCTCCCACGAGCTAGAATTATAGGCATGCCCCTCCATGCCTGATGTATGAAGCACAAGGACTCAAGCCCAGGATTCATACATTCTACCAACTAAGCCCCCATACCTGAATTGTATCTAAATAGGAAGCAACTATGATAATCCAAATCAAAAGTGATAAGTGATAAGTGAAACTGTCCATATATTATGGTTTACCATATCTATTGACTGGACATGAAGTTATTATTATGTAAACATGGGGCCAAGCACAAAGTTGGTGATGGTGGAATAACACTCTGGTGCATGCTAAGTATAAGTGGATTATATTAACTTACAGTAGATGTAAGAATGAAATGTAAAATGTATTTCTTTTCAGAAAATCTTTATAGAAAGGCAGATAGGTTTCATAAAGTATAGGAGTAATCAGAAACTTCTCTGGGACACCTTTGAAATTGATGTCACTGTACTGTATGGTGTTAAGTACCCTCATAACAAATCATACAGAAGAGCCATAGACAAAATAGCCTTTCAGAAGTGGGCTGGCAGTTTCTGACAGCAGCATGAAGCCATCTTTCAGAGCCAGTAATTCAGCCAGGCCCATCTGAATCATTTCTTCTATAAACTGTGCATAGTGGAAATATAAGAATAGGCAACACTATACTAATAATTATCTCTTTTTTGTCACCAGAGTGGCCTAGGTTAGGAAACTCCTCAAGATTAACTCAGTCTTTTTTTTTTAATCTACCTGCAACTGTTGTGTTATTCTTTTTAAAAATAAAGCACAAGTGTATGTTATTTGCTTTACTTCTGTGTATATGGATCTATAAAGTTTGTGATAAGATAAATGGCTCTCATAGCTATTTTAGACTCAATTATTTTTTTAAGTATTTTGAATTACTTCATCAGTCATTTATTTAATCAGCAGGTAGGTACAGCTTTAGACCTTTTGTTTGCCTTTTCGCTATAAAACAATTGTATTACCTAACCAGTTAAATGGTAAACCTGTAAATTGTCATCTGGCTGGCTCATACTAAAGCTTCATTTTAACGATGCAATTGATGAAAATAAGTATCAATAACCTGAAGATGCATAGTGCTGGGGACAAAGGTGGCATTTTACATTTTTATTAACACTAGTAATTTTCTCCTGCTTGATTTCTTTTAGGCCAAGCCCAATTTCTTCTAAACCATGGGTCAGTGAGCTCAGGCTAATTCCCATGTGACTGACAGGCTTGATTCTGTAAAGATATCACCGAGAACATGTCCATAAGTTACTTTCGTTATAAACAACCTAGGGTGGAAAAGTGTGGAAAAATATATTCTTCACTTGAATCTCACTACCTGTGCCAGTCATGATGCCATCGAGTTGTGTGTATTTGTGAAGTATTATGTCTGAAGTGTAATTAATGCAATCCTAACAAATTCATCTAAAATGCAAGCAAAATATTATCTTGTTGCCTTTCCTTGTTAAGCATCCAAGAGAGAGACGGAGAGACAAGGAGAAGAAAGTGCTTGATGTGGTTTGACTAAGGTAAAGCTTGCATTTAGGAAGTGTCTCTGGCAGCCCAGGGTAAATCTGAGGAGATTTTTCCCGGATGCAGTTGTTTCAGAGTTTCTTGCCACATCCTCCCGATTGAAAACAACATTGTATTAATAAATCAGAAGAGGCTGCTATTAACTTGATAAATAAGTACATTTAATGTAGAAGATGGAATGGGGTTTGTTTAAATACTTCAAATCAAACCTTGCACTATTCTAGTGATGTCAAATACATTTTCATTTTTTTAAAGATTCTAGTTAGGATTTAATCTTCTAGGGATGTCAAATACGTTTTCATTTTTTTAAAGATTCTAGTTAGGATTTAATCTTCGAAAATATTAATAACAGCTTACAGCAGGTAAGCTATAAAATAACACTAGATGCTGTCTGTTTAGTTTCTGGTTGAAAAGGCACAGCAGTACTGTAGTTCATTACCTTTGAAAAAACAGTAACAAGATAATACAGCTGCTCTGATTAAGATGTAAATTCTTTCTAATTAGAATGTAAATTCTTACATTTAAATGAAGACATCAGTTGTCAGGATGCCATATGATATCTTCTCCCACCTTGCCTGAGCGAAGCCCTCACTGCTCATCTAGGCACTGAAATAGTTTTGCGATCCCTTTGTTCTCTGATTCTTGTAATATTCTCTCTTCATGTTCCCTTTTCACACTGCTTTTGTTTGTTTTCCCCCTTGCATCTGATATTGTTGTGCCTTGGGATTTTGCAGAAATTTGGAATGAAAATTGAGTTCAGTCAGTGCCAGTATTTGCTTGTGCCTCAATTACTTCTGCTGAATTTTCTTCAATGCAAATCAGGCAGGTTGCATAAAGTGGTGCATGTATTTGAAATAATTAATTTTCCATAAAATGATGGATCAAGTCCAATCAACCTTCATGAAATCTAAATAATAGAATAGAGAATTAGAAATTAATTAACATTTTGTGCTGTTAATATTTCATGGTGTAAATGAGTAATGGTAAGTTTTATCTGTTGGTTCCAACTTTTTCTTTATTGAATGTTGATGAAAGGCTCAATCATTTCTTGCCAGAAATATCTGAACGAGAAACCCTGTATCAGTAACACAAGTGAAGGTTTCAAAGTTCACAGGTCACATAAGCAGTTGGTGAAAGCCATAGCATGAATGACAGACACAAATCTATAGGTGTCTGTTTTGCAGCATGAGGCCAGGACCTCTTGAGCTTGGTATCACATCTTTTATGTTGTGTTTCTTCAATTAGATAAAGTATAACTCTACAGGCAAATCAGCAAACCAGCCAACCTTACAGTGCTAGGGAAAGAGACACCTAGAAACTGAGGAAAAGTGCTTTACAGATGGAAGGGAGCCTGCATTGCCCTAGTTTATTTGGTTGTGGGCTTTTAACTTTGTTTTAGGAGGTTCTAACATAAAAACAGAAGCCATCTCCCATGGAGAAACAAAGTAGACAAACCTGAAATGATTCTGAGTAACAATCGAACAACAGAATAGCACACAATTAAGACTAAGGTGGACTTCCAGACTGTGAGGTGGTGGTCGGTTAATGAAGGTCAGTTTGTGTGGAATGGGCAGAAAAGCAAGCAGGAGAAATAACATTTCAGGCAAAACAGAGATGACAGGGGAGGGATGTTCGGATACGGAGAGTCTGTGACAAAATAGAAGAAATAGTGTCATTAAAACTTCATTTTGCATGTAGAAATGAGTACATTTAGTTAAATGCATGAATGTGAGAGTCAGGCAATCCATTTAGTATTGGTTAATCTAAAGGAAATTGCAGTGGCATTATCAATATGTCTTCTACCTTCCCAAACAAAAATCTGTTAGTCAGGTGTAGAGGCTCTTGCTTGGAATTGCAGGGCTCACAAGGAAGGTCAAGGCAAGAGAATTACATGAGTTCTAGGCCAGCCTGGTCGACATGGTTAGTTCCAGGACTATCTAAAAAAATTTTTTTTAAATAGCCAGGCAGGGGTGACACACACCTTTAATCCCAGCACTCCGGAGGCAGAGGCAGGCTGATCTCTTGAGTTCGAGGTCAGCCTGGTCTACAGAGCAAGTTCCATGACAGCCAGGACTACACAGAAAAACCCTACCTTCAATTATAATAATAATAATAAGCCACCTCTTCTGCAAAAATAAAAATTTTTCATAACTGTCTTGCCATTTTACAAATAAGGCATCTTAGTGACTAAAGCAAGAAGTACAAGCATTGTTTCTAACCAATAAAAATGAGTTATTTCTGTACCCAGTGCAATCAAAATATCTCCATTGTTATTCATACTATCACCTCTCAAAACTATATTTTTGCAAAATTGTGGCATTGTTTAAGTACTATATTAGTTTCCTACCACTACTATGACAAAATTACCATAGACTTAATTGCTTAAACAATACAGTGTTGTTCTTTCATATCTAGTAAGCAAAAGACCAAAATTAGTGTTATAAGATTAAAATCAAAGAGTTAGCATGTCTGTAACATGAATAACAAAAACTTGAGACAGATATTGGGGTTCAAGCTGAAAATCAGAAAGGCAAAGCAGCCAGCTATGAGCTCTTACCTCTATCAAGACTAAGACCAAAACTAGGAAGCTCCTGCTCCAGGAATCATCAGTGTGGCTGGAGATGGATGCCATCCTGTTCTTAGTGTGGCTAGAAACTAATTGCTTCTTCCTTATGTACTTCTCTAGTGCTGCAATTAAAGGCCTGAGATACGTTGCTGTTTTCGACTGATTCACTGTCATCTAGCCCTGAGTGGCCTTGAACTCACAGAGATACATTTGCCTCTGTCTCTTTGTCACCACCACACTGCCTATCCTCTATGGCTTAAGGCTAACTTTGCATTCTGTTCCCCAGGCAAGCTTTATTAAATCATAAACAATATATCATCACACAGGTCCATGTACCTTCTGGAGTCTCCAAGGAAGAATCCATTGCTATGCTCTTTCAGAGTCGAGAGGCTGCCTGTATTCCTTGCGTGTACCCTCTTCCTGAATCGTCAAAGCTCACATAGCAGTGTTGGACTAGGTTGTCCTCATCCTGTCATCTATCTACTTTTCTCTTCTACCCCTCTTTTATCTGGACCCACGCAGATAAACCTGAATCATCTTCCTAACTTAGGGCCAACTTACTAATAACAGAATTCCATCTGTAACCTTAGTTACCTCTACTGTGTAAGGTAGTATTGCAGGTTCTAGAGATTATGATGTGAACATCCTTGGGAAACATTCAGCCCTACTAAACATTTCATATTTTGACATCAACTGCTATTTGAATAGAGAGGCAGAAGGGCTACTTTTCTGGCTCAAGGATTTTCTCCTTTATAATCTAATATTTCTCATGAGCTGAATTTGAGAAGAAAGAGATTAGAATAACTACAACACATGGCAACAATCACAAATGCATGTAAACATTTTTCCAAAGTGTATACTAAAATCAGTTGTTGTGACCAAGATGCTTGGGAAACTAAAGCAGAAAGATGCTGTGTTTGAAGCTACTGTGGGCTATGTAATAGGTTCCCAGCCCAAGCTATATAGCAAGATGCTGTCTTCAAAAAATAAAAGGCTGGGTATAATATATACCTGTAATCCCAACACTTGGGAGGAAACATCAGGAGGGTCAGGAATAATGTTACTGAATAAAATAGAAAATAAAATTAGTCATTGTGCATGTGTTCAAAATATTGTTAGACCAGCATCCCTGGAGGTTGTCTTCCCTTGCCAGGTAGAGCTTGACATCAGCACCAGCCTGGTACAGGCAATGATGAGAAAAGCAGGGACTGATCAGGAAAGACTGTGCCCCAGTCCAGGGGGGAAAGACAGAAACAGAAAAGGAAAGAAGCTCTCCAGAAGGGAAGCCTCTTACCAGCTGAGAATCAAGAATGCTAGCACAAAAGCAAAGTTTTCTGTGAAAATTGCAGGCAGTATCAAACTATGCTTAAGTCCCAAGAGTGGAATATGGCCATATTATGGCCTAGCTATAAAATCTGCAATTTTTCTGTAAATCTGTCGAGTCAGACTATGAAGTTACTTACAATAAAAAGCATCCCTCAGCCCCCTTGTGACCTCATGTAGTAAGCATCTCTTCACCCCTTCTCATGTAGTAAGCATCTCTTCACCCCTTCTCAGCCTATGGAGCCACCTTATAGCTCATTACTAAAAAGGAAAAGAAAAAATCCTTAGAAGCTCGTTAGATGGTAACCTCAATATCCACCAAAATAGTATGCATGGCAACTGTTAAGACATGGACTCTCTCTTGGGAAACCTGCACCCCCATATTTAAGTGTACACTATGCTTCACCTAAGTATCACTCTTTGTATTAAAGCCCATTTTTGGGGGGGGGGTTGTTTGTTTATGAAGGTGTTGGCCTTGCTTGTTTCATACTGGCTAGCTCTGATTTAAGTATTTACTCCATAATTGTTAATCTAAGTATTTCTCTTACTGGAGAAAAGGGTCCAGACTTCTTACCCCTATGGCAGCTACATGATGACTCCCTGTGTTTCTCCTCGACTCCTAGTCCCACCAACTTACTTCCCTATTGGCCAACAGTGCTTTATTCAACAACCAATAAGAGACAGATTTACAGAATGGCATCTCCCATCATCTCCTTTAAAGCCCACTTTTAAACCTATGTTTAAGAAAATATTTGCCTAACAATACTCCAACTCAGATACATACACACACACACACACACACACACACACACACACACACACAAAGGAAGGGACGAAGGGCTAGGATAAGCTGCTATTAATTGCCTGTTGTGTAACAGAAACTATAATAAATACTTTCTAGAAATACTGCTTTTTGATCTGAAAATGTCTCTGTAATCTGGTATGTTTCCCTTTTAGATAAAGGACCTCTGGAAACTGGGTAAATTTACTGAGGATAGAGTAATGAGAGCTCCCAGTGTGTTCACACTGCAGCAGGCTAAATTCTGTTAAATGTTACCTGCATCCATCAAACAAGCACTCTCCAGGTCCATTGGAATCAACTCATTTAAAAATAGAATGCACTAATAAACAAGTGTAAGACATGATTCCTGCCTTCAAGGGCACTGTAGTCCAGTCTGAGACTGAAGCTAAAAACATGCAGGATAGTCATCTAGCAGAGTCAGACAACCTTGGATTGGAATCTGTTCCTTTAATGCTTAATCTTTTATTGTTTACATGTAAACGTAGGTTCCCTTCCTACCTCAGAGGGTTGTTAGAGAGATTAAGTATACATTAAATACTTAGACCAGGATCTGGCACATGGCAAGCACTCAGTAAATGGTGGCTGCTATGATTGTAATAAGTTCGTACAGCACAAGGGTTGAGTTAATGATTACCCCGACAGGAAGGTCAGCAGAAGACCAGAGTGTCAAGCCAGTGCCTGTACGTTAGAGTTACAGGTATCTGCGCACACCATGAGGAGCCTGTCAATGTTGTGACTAAGTACACTGCTCTAGGGAAGAATGTTAGCTTTCCAGTTCAAAACACTCAGCCATTCATCTGTGTGTCAAGGTTTCTTAATTTACAGAATGGGATAAATACACCTATATTATGGAATTCATAGAATTGATCAAGGAGATTAAATGAATATGCAAAATGCCTGAAGGTGTGTCTGATTTACAATAAACAACGTGTAAGTGCCCTTAATATCAAGGACGCTTCTATGGAGCTCATATTAAGTGACACCTTGCAGTTGTCGGTGCTAATAAAGAACACAGGTGATCTCGGTTTCCCACAGCAGTGCTGTTGACTTACACAGCTGGGCATTCCAACTGTGTGGGCATTGTACTGTCGGATTTCAGCAGCCTGCAGTGCATCTGTCCTTGGGTGGGGTGAGGAGACTGAGATGAGGGTAGATGAAATAAAGACCAATGGCTAAAAGAAAGGCCAAAGAATGATGTGGGAATTTTCCACATCCCTCAGTCTCTCCGCCTCAATTTTGAGACAGGGTCTGTCGCTGAACCTGGAACTTGACAGTTCAGCCAACAAGTACCAGGGATCTGCCTGACTCTACCTCTCTGATGCTGGAACTACAGGCACAGTTACCACAGCTTCTTTTTACATGTACACTGGGGATCCCAAATCAGCAAGCACTTCATCAACTGAGCCAGTGGCCCAGCCCCCTCTTCACTGATGATATTTATGTAGAAAAGAACCATAAGGATGAATTGTATGGTTGTGAGTTGATTTTGTTTTTTAAACATAAATATTCTTACTAACGATATATAAGCAGAAGTGGCTAGAGGTAAAATGTACTGATGTCTGAACTTAGATTTTCCAGTAAGTTGATGGACTGATGGATGTGCAGATGTTTAGATATTTAAAGTAACAACAAAACAGAAATAGAGGAAGGTCAGTTGCTCAATCTGTGGTGATATTTATGTGTGAGTTCTCTGTAAAAAGTTAACTTTTTGTATTTATAACTTTCTACAATAAAACACTGAAAAATTATAATGAGACCCCACACACACTACAAAATCAGTAGAATGATCTTTTTTTATTTTAAGGGAGAAAATGTCTTAGGCTTGGATGTCATGATACACAACTACAATTCCAGCACTCAAATGGCAGAGACAGGAGAATCACAGGTTCAAACCCAGCCTAGCTGTGAGACTGTGTTTAAAAAAAAAAGAAAACCTAAATTATAAATTTTATTCAAGTATGTTCATTCAATGTTCTGGTATAGTTCTGATGAAGTGAAGTATACTGACAAGTTCTTCACCCATTTTTGTTCAAATAATTGGATAATTACCTGGTAATGGAAGAGGCTGAAGGGAAGAACCAGACATAGAACTGCACCACAGTTCTTGTGACTGTTGAGTCAAACCTTTGAGACAAATCATTGTAATTAGCACAGTCTTGCCGTTGGAAGATCTGCAGCTCTAAACTGACATGTAAACAGCCCTGTCTCCTTTTCAAATACCATCCACTCTGTTGAAATAGCAGTGGCTTTTTTTTTCTTCTCTTTGACCATAGCAGTGTGCCCCCCTTTTACTTCACCTGTGGAATCATCTGCCCAGGCTCAAATCATTTGGTGAGACTTAAGTTCTCTAGTAAAACTAGGGCTCACTGAAGAATTTATATCATAAGTGAGAGGAGATGAACCAACCAGTTGAGGTTGTTAGTAGAGGAAATGAACATTGAAATAGCTTCTAGCACATGCACCAATGGCTGTCACTGCCACAGAGGATCTGTACTGGTAAAAACCAAGCAGTAGAGCTGGGAAGAAAAGTTGGAGAGAGTGCCAGGGCCTAGCAGATTCGCACTGCAATAAGGAGAAGGGGAGCTAAGTGCCAAGTAGCAGATGGGATGGAGTCATGTCCTCCTTGCTCTCTTGCCCGTCAGCAGAAGCCACATCCAGGGAATTTGCAATGGTGGGGGCAGAGGCAGGGCTGCTGTTCTTTGCCCCCAAAGCCCATCAGTCAGATGACTCCTAGGGGCTCCTTGTCCCCTACTTTGTGTTCGAGACTCTGATGCTTACCTATGGCAGCTTTGGAAACTGAGTCACATTTTGCTTTAAGACTGTCTCTTCCAAGCACATAACCAGGCTTTGTTTATATGGCTAAGTGCTGTTTTGTGGAAAGCGAACTCTAGGCTAGGAAAACTTACCAGCCTCCCTTAACTAACTGTAAGTTGGTTCCGATGTGACACTGAGTGTAAATCTTTTCTGATGCCAGGGTACTTTATACCAGTAGGTTCTTCTAGATATTAATGTGGCTGTGAACCTGTTGCCATTAACAGAAGCATCAGATAATGGTCTCTAATTAGGGGATCGCTACATTCATTTCTGTTGTACCACAGCATCATTTTTGGTTTGCTAATTTTTGTAAACTACTTGCCACACACACACACACACACACAATCTTTTTTTCTAAAACTGCATTCACCTCCTGATTTTCCCTTCAGCCCATGACGATGCCTCCCAGCTCCCCAGCCAGAATCTGGATCTGTTTTCTGTCATTCAGCACACTTTTGAACAAGTAACAAGTCTTGTGGGGAATTCTGTGGATAGCATTCAAAGTTGGCAGACCCTGGGGACAATCAATCACGAAATATGAGGGAGCAAATAATGAAATAGCTCAATTGAAAATTCTGTTGAAATACTTGACACAGTGACAAAATGAAAATCATGAGTCTAATTC